CCCCAAGAGGCTCGAAAACGACTCCCGAAAGTCTCCACAAAGCTCTCGAGAGGCACCCCACGAGATCCCAATGAACGTCCCCCTCCTCCTCCGCCTCCTCCTCCCCCTCCTCCTCCACCTCCTCCTCCTCTCCCCCCTCCTCCTCCTCCTCCTCCTCCTCCTCCTCCTCCTCCTCCTCCTCCTCCTCCTCTGCCACTCGCCTTTTCCACGCTCGCGCTTCTACCCTGCTACCCCCAAAACCCCGCCCCCCCTCACACACGACGACACATAGCAGCGGAGGGATGAAGTAGAGAAGAGAAGAAAACTGCAGAATGTTGTCTTGTTCCCTGCGATCGTATTCGCGAGCCGCCACCTTCCGAAACAGAAGTTCCAGGCGGGCAAAGAATGGCTCCCGCCTGCGAAAACACCTGAAGCCAGCCATCCATAAACAAAAGAACTACCCAGCAACACCCCATTGACAACGATCATCCGGGCACTCGGCAGCAGTGCACCAATACGGGCCGGCGGAATGAGCGAAGCGATTAAATAAACGACAGCGTAAACAAAAACAAAACCAACAACACCAACAACAACAATCCGCACCACAGAACCTCACTTCGGCCACGCGCCCAGGGACAGTGAACGGCCTGTTCGGCCCTCACTCGGCTATCTATCTATCTCTATATACATGTGTATATACACACATCTAGATACATATGTACATATACATACATATACAAACACATTTATATATACACACACTAGAACCACGCGCGTGTTTCGCGCGCCCTTGGGTTCTACCGCACGCCAAGGCGCTATCAGATGCCATCACGACGCACTGGGTTCATATCACGATTCCTCGAGGAGTTAACGCCTGCCTGCGTTACCGGCCTACGCAATATGTTCGACGCAGCTCCTTCCACATCTCGCTTTACCTCATCATCCAACGGTTCCCTGCTCGCTACATGTTTCAGCTTGTTACTTTTGTCGTTCCACTCTACCTGCGCCTGTCTTCAGGGCGGCATGCGTTGATCCGTTCCACTGTGTGCGCGGGGTTCTAAGCCCACGGCGTCGGGGAGCTACGGACCAGGTCGCCGATCCGACGGTTCTCCTGGTGCATGCTACTGCTGTATTGCACTGGTGGAGAAAATCCGAGACCTCCTTGGCGTTTTCCCCTGTGTCCTCGCCCTACTGCATCAAATAACTCCTCGCCCAAGCGACCAGAGACAGTGCGTGTGGAGGCACGAGGAGAGCACGGTGGCGATGCAAGCGTGCGGGGGCAAATCAGACCCACCGAAGCTGGTGGCATGTGTTTCTGCTCGGCGCTGGCCTGGGCTGTAGTAGGATCGATGCCCTGGGGAAGGCAAGCCAAATCGATCGTGGGCGGCCAGTCCACTCGCGACCCAAATACATACCGCAGCCAGGCAACATTTTCCCTTTGGCGAACCAGTCTTGATATATATATATATATATATATATATATATATATATACACTAGAATCATCGCGCGCGCTTCGCGCGCGCTCAAGTTCTAGCCGGTCCGCTGGGACAATCCCAACAGCCCTCTGGGCGTAGGTGGTTTAGAGAGCTTCTTCTTCCAACCTCCTTCGTCCACTTCGGGGAGGGGCTTACCCCTCCCCCTACCCTCTCCCCATGGACCTGGACGGGGGGGTTCGCGAGCGGTCAGAGCGTCCAAGATGGCCCAAGATGGCTCCATGGACCTGAAGAGGGCTCGAAGAAGGCTTCAGAGTGGTCAAAAATGCCCCCGGAAGGTGCCCGAGCAGAACAGATCCAGAGGCTTTTGGTATGGTTCTGTTGGGGGCCTTCTCGAGGACTCTCTGAGGCCCTCGTGTAGCCAGTTTGAGCGCTCGAGAGCTCTCGACCCTTTCCCAAAGGGGAGCCCGAACAGAACCATACCGGAGGCCTTTCGTATGGTTCTGTTCGGGGCTTTGCCGGGGATTCTCTTGGGTCCTCCGGGGCCCCAGTTGAGCGCCCCGAAGCGGGCTGGGTGGATCGGAAGGGAGCTCCAAGAAGGCTTTAGAGTGCCCGGCAAGGCTCCCAGGAGGTGTCCGAACAAAACCATACCATAGGCTTTTGGTATGGTTCTGCTGTGGGCCTTTTCGGGCACTGTTTCAGCCCTCGTAGAGCCCTCCTGAGCTTTCCGAAACGAGCTTGGTCGGCCCGAAAAGGGCTCGCAGAGGGCTTCAGAATGGTCGAAGGGGGCCCCGAAAGCATCCCGAACAGGACCATACCAGAGGGCCTTGGTATGGTTCTGTTCGGGCCCTTGTCGGGGATTCGCTCGGGCCCTCGTGGATCCCAGCTGAGCGCTCCGAAGCGGGCTTGGTGGATCCGAACAGGGCTCGAAGAAGGCTTCGGAGTGGCCGAGAAGGCCCCTGGAAGGACTCCAGAAAGATCTATACCAGCGGCCTTTCGTACGATTATGTTCGGGGCCTTCCCGGGGACTCTGGGGCTGTCTCTGGGGTCCTCTTCGGGCGCACGTCGTGCTTCTGGGGAGCCTCTTGGCCCGTCTTGGGGCTACCTTGAGCGCGTCAGAGCGTTCTGGGTGGTCTCTCGGAGCGTCCTGGAGGCCTCCCGGGCACTCTGGCAGCCATCCGGCGCGATCTTGGGACACTCTTGGGCGGACTCGGAGGCCCGGGACCCGCTGGAGGGGCGGACTCGGAGGCCCGGGGGCAGCCGGAGGGGCGTCCCAGGAAGGGGCCACGCCCTACATACAAGGGAGGTTCCGGCCCGGGGCCCGGGGCCCGGGATCTCCCATATATATATATATATATATATATATATATATATATATATGTATATCGCCGCCACCGATCGCCCATCTGCCCGCCTCGCCCTCCACGCCATATCCTGTCTCTTCCTTCCGCAATTCCTAGATTGTGCTCGTATTCTCATGCCCCTCCTCTATTCATGGCCTGCCTCCCCTTCGTTCCGTGTCCCTGGTGCAAGCTACTGCACTACATCTGGGCGTGAAACGCGTGAATGGTAGGTTCCACATCAGCATTTACACGGGACAGTTGCCCTTTCAGGTGTTCATTCGTCGCGGATGGGCCTGCTGGCATCGCCGCACGTTGCAAATGAATTGAGCACATCCTCGGGTAAGGCGCTTGAAACGTTGGAGGCCATTGGATCATTGAACACCCACCCCAGTCTTAGTCTCAAGAGGTCTCCTGGATGCCCGCGGCGTCTCGCCTCTGGAAGTCTCTGGAACTCTGCGGAGGCCTGGAGAGGGACAACAGACACAATGCGCACCAAATGATACTGAACCATCAAACTTGCGGCCTTCGTAGTGCGGGTGGCGGCTATAAATCAACCGCGCCACCTCGAAATGGAAACGGGCAGGGATAATCCTCCATCAAGACGATCAGAGGACAATTCGCCGTTGGTCCCCGCATCATGCCCAAATTGCGGGCAAAAATGCCAGGAACTGCGCTACCCATGGTTTGCGCAATAGGTTGTGCCCTCAATGGGTTGCGCCACAGGTTGTTCCACCATTTGGGATGTGCTAGAGGCTCTGGCGCCATGGGTGGCGCTATAGGGTGCGCCCTCGGTTGACAAACATGCATCAGCCTGCTGATGTTTTCGCCCACATATACACACTCGGTTGCCGAAAAAACAGCCTGCTACTGGTTGCACCATAGGTTGCGTATTCGGCGGCCGAACACACAATCAGCCTGCCATTGGTTGCGCCGTCACTTGCGCTCTCGTCGGCCGAATATAATATGGCAGACGACTGGTTGCGGCGCCAAAAGTTGCGCGCCCAGCTGCCGAAACAAAAGCAGTCTGCTAGTGATTCTGCCATTGCGCTCTCGGCGGTCGAAACTAAAACAGCCTGCCATGGGCTCCACCATGGGTTGCGCTCTGGGCCGCCATGTGAATAGAACGGCCTTCTAGTGGTTGCACCAAAAATTGAGCTTCGGCGGTCGAACATAGAACGGCCTGGTTTGGGTTGCGCCATGGGGGGTGCCAAAAACGTGAGATCGCTGCAGACGCCGATTCGCCCCAAGACCGAGCAGCATATAGCATATCTGACCCATCAAAGGAAACGCCCAAGGCACGCGACGGCACTCGTTCCACCGCCCAGCCAGGGCGAAGCAGCACGCGGCGCGGCAAGAGGAGGCCAGGGAAACGTTTTCGCTAAAGCTTATTGTAGATAGAAACAAACAAACACTGCAGAAACATAAACAGTCGACGGCCTGCGCGGATTTATCTGCGCTGCACCCCCTTCCTGGCGCGTCGAGAGCGCCAGGCTGGCGCGCCGAGCGCGCCAGGGGCGGCGCCGCCAGGGGTTCCAATTCAGATCAAATCCTTTTTGTGCGGATCCTCGGAAGTGTATGCTTATGCCGCTCTTTCTCCTTCGAGAGGCGAGCGCGCGGGGGGAGGGGCGCGGGCGGCATGCAAGCGTGGCGCAATGGAGTGCGAACGGGTCCGCGCGCGCGCCGCAGGCGGGCCACGGGCGGCTGGCGGGCGACCTGCTGCAGGGTCAGCAGCGGATCGCGAATGGGTCGCTCGGAAACGCCGGCAGCAGACCAGGACGCGACGAAGCCCCCCACCACCGCTCGCCCCGCACACGGGGAGAGCGTCAAGACCTCTGGGCCTCTCATTTATGTTAGCCCAACGAGCGATGAACACGCCGTGTCGACATTTCACGCGGTCGTTCCCGAAACCACCAACTCTGTACTCATACGGCAATCTCCACAGAAACCGGAAAGAGGGTGGCACACACACACAAACAAGCACAAACACCATTGTGTTGGCGGTCGCGGCCTCGCGCGCGACGACGAGGCGAGCCAGGTCACGTATGGCAACAGGGACTGTGCCAGTGCACGTGCGCGCCAACTCAGAGGGGGGCAACACATTGGCATCCGGGCGATGGCGGCGAGAGCATACGTTCACACACACGCACACACACACGCACGCGCACACACACAAGCACACACACACACGCGCACACACAAACACACGCGCGCACTCACACACAAACGAACCTACACACATCTTATCTTTTCCAACACAGAGATCACGATTCCTGCAAGCACGGAACTCTGCACTACTACTCCGAGTTGCGACGCAAATCTTTTCATTGCGCGCAATACTGGGGAGACAAAACGATGGAACGCTGCGTGCAGAGGTGCACCGAAGGTGGAGGCCTTGTCCCGCACGGCAGACAGCATCCTTCAAATCTGTGCCAGTTTCTAGGAACGTTTGGGCGCCAGCCAAGCGCGAAGCCTAGCGGTCGAGATCCTCCAGGGAGAGTGTCCCAAACTGGTCCCAATCGCACCATCGTCACACAGGTAGGTAACACAGCGCAAGTCGTTGCATTCAAAAATGAAGTTCAATTCTAAAAAGTGGCTAAACCATCATCACGTCTTGGTGTGGTGATGTCCGTCGAATTGCTTCTTTTTTCCTGCGAGCCTAGACCCAGAAAGGCCTGGCCAATATCTTCTGCAAGCACGGGATTCCATGTTGAAACTGCGCTGCTGAGAACCTCATGGGTTGAAACATGGCCACAGCGGTGACGGAAACACTGTACAGCAGAGAGGCCATGCATACATCCGTGTTTGGACAATTTCGTGTTGCTCGCCCACATCCCTCTGTCTCTCCTCTCCCGTGCACCATTGGCATACACAGTGTGGGCATCCTGTAAAAATTACATACCCAGGGTGTCCGACCAGAGGCAGCCAGCACCAGAAACGCCCGCGCCGCTGTGCCCGCGGACCCAGAGAATCCTACTGGCGACGACGGGACGAAGAAGATCGTGCTCAGGATCGCGCCGCATCGGCTATGTATCGGCGATGCGGTGCGACCCCCCGACCCCATCTCAACGGAGCTCACTTGGGCGGCTTGGCGCCCAGCCCACGCATGGCAGGCAGGCAGCTGATATTGAAAAATCACTTGCTCCCTCTGCGCGTGGGAGCGAGGGCGCTTGGCATGAGAAGCGCCTGACCCGCTGTGCTCGGCCCACATGTGCGGCAGGCCGTGAGGACAGCTCCGGCTAAAGCAGCATGACCACGATCGCCGAGAAGGATTGAATGGCGCGAAGCCCCGTGTACGCGCCCTCCAGCGGGCGGAAGCCTGCGGCGCACCTGCGTGCCACCGCTGGACGAGCCTGACCCCACAGAAACCTGGACCAGCTCCTCAGCGAAACAGATTGGCAGACTGAAGCCGTGCCACTGAACAGACCCAGCGGAGACGGAAACAACCTGCAAGGTCGAAGCCAGTCGCAGCTCCAGGACTGGACATGCCCGCGTGGCCTGCCTATAATCCTCGCCCCAACCCTTGCTCAATTCCATCTCCCTCCCCACTCGTGTGCACCATCAACCAGCACGGTCAAACTGATGAGCTGGTATCTAATAGCACTATCCCCTAAGTAATGTACTTCAAACCGGTGAGGATCAACATCAGAAGCGCCTGCGCCGCTGAGCTCAACTCACCTGCGTGGCAGGCCGTAGGTGCAAATCTGGACATACCCGCATGGCCGAGGGCACCAAGAAGCGCTGCGCAAGGCCACCCTGGTGGGCGCACGAGAGCAGATTGCTTGAGAACGGACAAATGGTTGCCACTGTCTTGATGATGCGCCACCGCGTTCCCAACCTTCTCCGGCGTCGAGACCTCACGGAAGATGCTGCCACGCCTGCTTGGTGGCTGGCCCAAGTGCGCTCCTCCTCGCCACTGGAAGTCCTCGAATATCCTTCTGTCTGCGGTGCGGGTGTCCCACCCTGGCAACGCGCCGAAGTCACTGGCGATGCGCGCTCGTATTGCGTCAGCCACCTGCTTGAGCTTGGGCAACTGACTCGGCAGCTCGCCTTCTTCGGTGCAAGTGACGTCGGCCTGGATCCCCACTAGGAACCAGATGTCCTCACCCGTGTGCGTACGGCCGACGGCAAGGCCCCTCAGGTCCAAGAGGTTCAGGAACAGCTCTCCGTTCTTCCTGCGGTTGGTCAGCACCCCCGTGAAAGGCTGCCCCGTCTCACATGATTGGCGCAAGTCCTGGAGGGTGACGGGGTCCATGCTGCAGCCCGAGTTCAGGAAGCGGCAATTGACGCCCAAGATCTCTTCGCGCCTGAAGCCCGTCATGACCTCGAAGCCCTCGGAGACGGCGATCAGCGGGTTGTCTGGAGACCTGGGATCCGCCACGGTGACGCAAAAGGAGCACGTTGCACATGCGCCGCGGACGGCTTCCTGGGGAAACCAAGAAGTACCAATACCGCGACCTACTCCCTGGACTTCTCCTGGGGTGCGGTCTGTCCAACATTTCGATGCGAATCCAGCAGTGGCGACGATGGCCTCCCAGGAAGTCCAAAGAGAGAAACCGAGGGAAAGGCAACGGTATCGTTACCTTTTTCCCCTCTGACTTCCTTCAGCACCTCCTCCTCCAGCACCTGCTGCGCCGTGGCCGAGCACTGCCGGCTGAGCATCTCCTCATCCGGCAGCCGTGCGTC